TAAAGCTATTTTGGGAATTTATTTTAAGAAGTTACCAAGTATACAGAAATGTCAACATTTTCTTTTTGAAGCAACTAATCTTGGTATGGTCAAAGTTCAAGAAGTTGCTAATGGACCTTTTACTGAATTCAATTTATTGAAAACCAAGAAATCAGATATTTTTGAAGAAATTAGAACTTTATCTATTTTAGTGTTAACACCACCTCCTTTGGATTACAAAAGACAAGAATATCTTTACCAGAATATTCGTCTATTTGTGAAAGATGAATACAAAGATATCACTTGTCCCAAACCAATCTATACTGATAATGAATAAAAATATTTCAGTCAACTGCAAATTTTATTACTTTATTAGTTTTTATTAAATTCTTTATATTTAATCTTTTAATGATATTAATATTAAAATATAATATAGGAAGTAAAATCATGACATTCAATAAAAATGATATCGATACAATCGAAAAAGCAAAGGAATATCCTGACTATCATGGTGGTAAACTTACTGATCAAGAAAAAGAAATCTTTAATAGTGATCTTTTAACTCCTAATGGTACTTTGGATGTTTCTCTTCTCCAGGATACGGCTGAATTATTAAATGATTGTAAAAAAGCGGAAACTAATTTAAAAGTTGAACGAAGTGCGGATGTTCTTAGTAATGATGGTAATAAGTTATTAGTTTCCTTAATGGCAGAAAGGAGAAATAACTCCATTGCTTACCAATTAGTTAATGAAAAAGATGAAAATGAAGAAGGAAGAGTTGATAAAATGGTAAAAGAATACCAAACTGTTTTATTTCAAAAAAACAATAAAACTTTAGATTTAAAATTGAAAGAAGCATTAATTTCTTTTGCCAAAGTATCAAAAGAAGAAGAAAAGGTTGCCAAAGAAATTACTGAGTTAGAAAAAAAATATAATCCTCAAGTTCTTCAAGAACAAACTGATTTAGAAAATAAGGTTGACACTGCAGTTACTGCTTTAAAAGATGATCTTAGAATTGTTAACACAGGAGGTCGTAAATTTTTAGAATTTATAATTGAAAATGGTAAAAATTTTTCTGAATTAAATTATAAATCTGATGTTCCAGCTACCACTGAACATTATGGTTCCATTATCAAAACTGGTTATAATGGGAATAATAAACCTTATACTCATCCACTTTATTTGAGTACTGATTTTGTAGGGCAAATTTGAACTATTCTCAAAGATATTGATAAAGATAAACTTTTCAAATATATTGATTCTTCAGATTGTGCTTGGGATGCTGGTGATAAGAAAAAATTTAAAGGTGCTTTTGAGAGAGTTATAAACTGAAATGCTAAAATTTCAAATGAACGTGATAAAGATTTAGTGAGCTATCTTTATTCTAATACAAAAAGAAAGAAGAATATAAGTAAAGGAGAGTTCAAAGAGAGAAGAAGGTATGTTAGTGATATTTTTTATGTCATGCATGCTCTCTTTCCCAAAGATAGCAACTATCAAAATAGTCCTTTCATACAAAAAGGTCAAAAGAGTTGTTTACCTTTTAAGAATGGCTATAGTTTAGATAATTCTTATACAATGTATTGACGAGGAGCTGATGCAAGTATTATTGGAAAGAAATATGTTGATAATAGCACAAATGTGTTGAAAGCTCCTTTTGATGTTGAAGAAAAACACTTAACTTGGGCTAATGGTCAAATTCCCAAATTCTTTTGACAAGTTTATAATAGTGATGAAGCCGTTGAATTTAATGCTTATGATGAGGTAATTAGTAAAGATGGGATTATGGATGAAAGAATTAGAGAGGAAGAAATAACCATTTATGAGAAGAAATTAACTTGTTCATCATCAATTTTTAACCGTCATATTGCAAAAAAAAACTATACTTTGTATGTCGAGAAATTTATCAGTAATTTATTGGATGCGACTGGGAAAAAATTATTTGAAGAGGAAGAGGTTAATGAGCTTTGTCTCAAATGAACTAAAATTAGCCAAAAGGTAGTGAAAAAGGCTATGGATACTCTTGTAAAATTTAGAGAGGAAGCGAAAGGTTTAAGTTTTGATGAATTAAAAGTTAGAAGTAATGAACTTAATCCTTATCAAGCCAAATGATTAATTAGAGAAGTCAAGAATAAAGAAATTGATAATGAAATGATAGATGTGTGAAATGAATGAAAAACTATTACCGCTGATAAACGAGTAGGTTTAGAAAGTATTCATGCAGAATTAGGAAAAAAAAGGAGTGAATTAACTAAAATTAGTCTTCAAAAAACTGATAAAAAACAAAAACTAATCCAAATCCAAAATCAAATTAAGGCTTTTAAAACTAATCAAATTAATCACTTACGAACTCAACTTAAAAATTTAGGAGATAAATTAACTAATTCTAGTGATGAAAATATTATCACTTATCAAGAAACAATTGCGATTAGAACTTTGTTTTACTTCTTAACTGATTTAGAAAATGAAGGCAAACTAGAAACTCCCCTTACAACTACTGAAAGAGGATATCTCACTAAAGTGGAACAGTTAGAAGCTATTCGAAATGCTAAACTTCCTACTTATAGCACTTGACAAGGTTTAGGTACTAGTTTTTGAGAAAGACTAAATAATTGAGAAAAAAAAGAAGGAAGAAATCTAACCTCAAAAAGCATTATAATTTATTTTAATTTACTAAAAAGTGAGTTAGATAATGCTCAACAAACCATTGGTCTTAGTCCAGAAGAAGAAGCAGAATTATTGGCGATTACTAATTACTTAACTAATCCAGAATTAAGAAGTGAAAATCTTCGTTCAGTTTTCAAGATTGATGCGGATATTACTACTTCTTTAGTTCAAGAATGAAAAAATTATGGGGATAAAAAACTTTTTAAAAAAGACGAGTTAGAACTAAAAAAGATTGCTGATATTCTGCTCAATTTAGAAGATAAAACTACTTTTTTCAATGAACTGAAAGAATATCTTAAAGATAAGCAAGGAGTGCCAACCTTCCCTGCTGACACCACCAATGACTATCAAAAAACAGATTATTTCTTTACTTTGCTTCCCCACTATGTAATTGGATTTTCAGTTACTTACCAAATTAAGTATGATAGTGTTAAGAAAAAAGAAATTGAAACTGCAATGAAAATTGCTAAAAATGAGCAAAAACTAGGCTTAGACTTAACTAAATATGGAAATGGTCAAGAATTTACCGAAGAAGGAATCATTAGATATTATGCGGAAGAATTAGGGGGAGTAAATCATCGCTTTGCTCAGCAAAAAAAAGAAACTGGTGTTCCTAAACCAGATTTCTGAAGAATCAATAATCCTTCTGCTTGAGCTGCAGGAGGAGCATTGTTCTTTCTTTTAGCTAGTTTAGGTTGAGCCATCTGAAAAAGAAAACTCCTTGCTCAATGATGAAACTCCCCAGCTGAACTAGAAGAAGAGGATGATGAAGATGATGATTAATAATGATTTGATTGTTTATTCTGCCAGTCTTCTTTTCTTTCTTGGTTCATCATGAGCTGATGTTAAGGTTCGTTTATTGCTTATTATTTTTCTTTCTTCATGGTAAATTTCATAGGTAATCCTTTCTTTTTTTAGATAAGCTTCCAGTGTCTGAGTATCATTTATTTTGAAAATGTAAGGAACAATTTTTTCACCTTGTTCTTTTTTTAGAATACTTCTAATAGTGCTATAATTTTTGGGTTCCATAACAGATAGGATGTAAATGAGTTTCATATTAACTATTTTTGTCTAGACAAATATCATGATCACATTACATGGTGATACAATCGTGATGTTAAAAAATAATATTGATCCCTGAAATTCTTGGTAATACCAATGTTCACTTTGTCTGGTTTTGTTGCAGCATGCCCCATATATATTATTAATATTAATATAAATATTTTTTTTAATTTGTATCACCATTAAATGTCACGTGATATAAAGATTTTATTGCATTTTTGAGCATAACTTACAATTCTGAGTTTTGATGTTTTTTCCCAAAATTGGTCACGAGGCGCAGCAAGTTGCGGGACTAGGTGACTTGCACCATACAAAGATTAAAGATCAGCAGCTATTACTCGCAATGTTAACATTCTTGCAGTTGATTTGGTATAGATACATATAGATACAGCAACTTCTTCTGAAATATCAAATTCCATTATTAAGAAAACTGGACGCGCCAATTAGCAAATGTACCTTGGCAGTTGTTCCTATAAAAATGACAAACCAAACTGATTAAAAACCTTCGTTGCATTAAAACACGGCAATGTATATAAAGAATTGGAATCGTTGAGATCTCATCTACAGCCTTTTCATGATTACAATTACTTGTGTAATTTGTAAGGACTTTCATTTTTTTCTTGATGTTTCAATATACTGTATATAAATTCAAATCTTCAATACTTTACTAGCTACTACTTTTACCACTGTTGTAAAAGAATAACAAGCAAAACAAACCATCTAAAGACGTAATTGATGAAAATAGCATTATATAATTAGAATACACTGTCTTAAAAGACAATCCTTTAATAAGGATGTGCGATCATCAAAAAACAGTGCAATGATATTACTATTGTACATCCTTCCTGGAACCCAATTTCAGGATTCCATTATTATTATCTTTAAGCAAGAAATATCTGTGTACACAGAAAATATTAGAAAACAATATATTATTCATCTCGGATGATTGAAACTTTTTTAAGTTTCATATCTGTTTAGTTCTTTTTCACATGCAGTTAATTATGTCCATTAGAATTTTCATTAACAACAAATTTTGAATGATTATTAAAATAATCTTGGTAATCTCCTATCTCTGATATAACAGATATAGCTGGGATATGTATGGACTTCTTTCTAAGTTTATATCAGACTTTTTCTTGAAGTAAAAAAGGTAATTGATTACTTGAAAGAAAACAAACAAAAACTTGTTTTATAAATTGAATAATAGCATCGTATATATATTATTTTTTTAATGAAATCATTTACAATTGAAAAAGAACTAAAAAAAAAAAACAAAATAAAAAAAAAATAGATTACAATATAGATGGAATTTGTTTACTCAACACAAAAACTTTATCATCATCTCTCAACATTACATTATATCTGGGACAAGTATATACATATTTAGAATATTTGGTTTTACCATTTGGTGTTATAAATTTATTGGTACGATATAGACCCAAAGGAATAGCTCTTTTCTCGCCCAATAAGAAATGAAACATTGATCCATATTGTGAACCTATAAATCTTACGGGGACAGGAATTTGAAAAATGTGTGAATGAGCGGGCGCAGAACAAGTTGTACCTGAAGAAAGTTGAAGTGGAGGAGCTCCAAAAAGTAATTGGTTAATGATAGCAACTAGATGTGGTTGATAGAATGATTGACATATTATGCTATCCAACATGGATAAAGAAAAACAAGTTCCTGCCATGAAAGCTGGTGAATTATGTGCTATTTAAATATATATATATATATATATAATTTAGCATATGTATATCTTGGCATATTAAAAAAAAAACAATAATAGATAATTAATTACCATTAATATTCTTATCAATGACTGCTGACGTGTCTTCTGAAACGAACTTCATGTTGTTCGTATGTACAAACTCTACAATCACATCTATGTCTTCCTCGATAGACATTGCCTTAATGTTCAAGTAAACCAACATCGCTGGTGCGTCTTCAGTCTTTTCTCCATCTCTTGATAATTTAATTTTTAAGTAAAAGAATTAGATCAAAAGTTTTTTTTAAAAAAAATCATTATATATATACATATATATATAAATATATTTACTTTAAAATTTTAGTAGAATCGGTTAATATAACCTGATATTTTAATAACAATATAAATGATGATTAAAGAAAATTATTTTTGTTAATAATCGTTGTTAGCTTTAAAAGATTTTTTAACAAATTAAAATTATTAACGACACTCACAGCTTGTTTTGCAAATCTAACTCTGCCAAGTTCAAGACCTTCTCGTGTCATTGGATTTCCTTGAACAAAATATACTTGATCAAATTGACTTAAAATTTTCCATTGACTTGTTGTAGGTCTTGTTGGTGAAAGAATCACAATTGGTTTAAACTTATCCAAATGTGATTTACGTAATGGGCTAACAAAACAATCCAAATTACGTGGAAAAGTTGCAGTTGAATAATCACACAAGAGGATATGTTCATTGATTGTATCCAATATTAAATTTATGTGTTCGCTATCAAGAGCATTTGATGAGGAGGAAGAGGGATCTATAGTGTGATGATGGTGCTGCTTGTAATGTTGTTTATGATCAAAGTCTGATGCAAAAGCAAGAGGGGTAGAAAGCGCGCGTTGATGACGTGTAATAGTATCTGGTTTGTAAGGATATTCGTGATGGGTTTTATCAGGGCTTGTAGGACGGCCCGATTTTTTCTTTATATCATAATATGAGCCACCGTTATTATTTTTCAACGTGTCGGATGACAATAATGGTTGTCTTTCTGAAGGAATTTGTTGTGGCTCAGAAGATATATTCTCATTGTTTCGAACATGCAAATTATGCCATTCATAATTGGAAACACCTTCAGCCAGCGCACCATCACAAGCAATTATAAATCCAACTTCGTCACCTTTTACAATATAATTTCCAGGATTAATTAAAACCATATAGTTCTTGGCATCTCCGTCACAATCGCCCTCTTCATTTTTTAATGGAAAATTTTAATGAAAAATTTACAATCTACTAACCAACAACAGCATGAAATGTAGAACCAGCAAAATAATTTGATAGGGTTGTGGTGTAGATAGATTGAGAGATGCCTTCGATATAATCTTCAATATAGTCATTTTCCAAACGAGATGATGACTCTTTTTTAATATTTCTCAATTCGTGAGTTGATTCATAAGTGAACGTAGTTGTAAGACCATATAAAAGTGTTGAAAATCCAGGAGTTAAGCATGAGTGAGCAAGTATGGCAAGTTTTAACTCGTCTATACATAATATTAATTCAGGATCTAAAACAAACAATATTCATTTATTTATTTGATTAAATATTTTAATTAAATATTTTTATAGGAAAAAAATAATTTTTGTAACATACTTAAACTTTCAAAATGAATTTTATTTTCTGGAAGAATACATTGAATATAAAGTTTAGGACCTTCATCGTATTTACTTAATGCCTATTATTTCAATTAGATTATTATATTGAATTATTTTTTTTATTTTTTTTTATTTTTAAAAAAAAAAGTGATTTATTTACCATTGCTTTTAAAACATTTTCTGCATCAATAGTATCGCTTTGTTGTGTAAATTTTTTGGCTAAAATAAAATACGCAGAGGCTTTTTTTGCATTTACTTTTTTTAAGCTACGCGACTCGAGTGAACTACCCCTAATGTATTGTACACGATGTGCATATAAAGGATCTGATAAAAATGACTTTACACGGTCATTTGGTTGTGCAGGATTTAAAATTACTACCTATAATTTAAAAAAATAATATAAAATAAAAATTATAAATAAAAAAAAAAATATTATTATTATTTAAAGTTTTGCATGGAATTTTTAAATATATTTGATGCAATACTTTTGTATTAACGGTTGCAAGACCATGCGCTAATGAATAAAATTCCTTTAAAAAATGTTTTAATGAGGGTAATTCTATAGTTGGAGCAATGATGATGACATGGGGTTGTTGTGATATTTTTCTGAATGGTCTATCATAAATAGATTTTGAACGTATTAGAATAATCAATTCAGATATAGAATACTAGACGAGTAATTAATAAATGATAATTAATGAATTAATTCATGTGTAATTGTTTTAATTTTTTTTTTTTAAGAAAATTAATTTGATTAATTACCGGAATAAATATAAGACCAGTTGTAAATATCACCAAAAGAAGAATTCTAGGAAAAGCATTATCAGGTACTATGTCACTAAGATAACCAACAGTGCCCAACATAATAGTTGTGAAGAAAACAGCTATTACCAATAAAGTTATCAAGTTAATACAATTTTTTAAATAACCTATGGAGAAATTATACATCAATAAACTATTACCATCCAAGAATGTAATATTATCTGCACCCTACATATATAAATATATATGATAAATATATCAATAGATAAATAGATAGAGACAGATATATATATATATATATATTAGATATTTTGCTTACCATATATGCATATTCAACACCATGTAACAAAGTTGATCCAGTTAATACAAGAAAAATGATGGATGTCAAAAAGATTAATACCCTACTGGTAACTTGACCAATTTTGATGATAGATTTCTCGCTTCTAACTAAACAATCATATACAGATAAATAGCATCGAATAAATCGAAAAGGATAAAAAAATACAATGTAACGAGTTTCTTGGAATACGGGATCATGAGCAGTGGCAGCACAAGGAAAGACTGTTAAGATTGTTAGGAGTGGAATAGGGCTAGTGAAAAATGACTTCCATGATTCAAATTCATAAATGTAAAATTTTGGAACATATTCTATTATCAACAGCAATGATACTATTACTTCCAAGCACACATTCACCAGCGGCAAAGATTTCATCATATGACCAGTATGTGCTATATAAATCATACATAATAAAATGTTGAGAAAAGCATCCACTATTTTCCAGATACTACCGATAGCAGTATTATCAAGCTCAACAGCCAATTTTTCACGCCATGAAGGTTGATAAAGAGCATGATAATGTGGTTGTTTTAAAGTGAAATTATCAGAAGAAACTGACATTAAAGAGGGAGTCCTACTTAATCCTTCTAATGATTTTTTAGAAGGAAGAATGAAGCTGACATGGTTTGTTTCTTCAATTTGTTCTGGAGTTGTCGCAAGTTTTTCCATATTTATGATCAACAAAATTAGAACAAATTAATAATTGAACTATGAAATAATTGAAATTATACATTTCTTCCAAAAAAAAATAAATATTTGGGCGGGTGTAACAAATTGATTATTTCGGGAATAAACAATATAAACATTAAAATATTCAGCAAGTAAATCCCGTTTTGTAAATAAATGATTTTCTATCCAACTCCATATTTAGTATATATTACTACATAATATTGAAATTTTCTTGGTATTTTGATGTATATCGAGTCACAACCGCAACTATTACTATAGAAAAATTGAATTGAGCCATCATCTTTAAAAAAATCCAGGTTTTCCATTGCTTATTTTGAAATTGTGTCAAAGTATTAATCCATCATCTGTGTAAAAAAAAAAAGGATTATTTTCTTCGTCAACAAGAACAGGATTTAAATAATAACAAGTAGAAAATTTTTTATCCACATCACGAAAAAATTGGAGAAAATAGACGAATTGGAATATATTATTGACCTGAAGCCTTTGATAATTATAACAATAAAATTATTATTATCATAGCATAGAATTCAACCATATAGAAGAATTCAATTCAATTATAATTTAATTACAAGTTGAAGACATTTATTTACTTACCTCCACCAGTTTGTTTATGAATAATCTATACAATCACAAACACTAAAAATTAATATAATACCAATCACGAATAATAAATAATTTATTTGATTTATTATATTCAAATTCTATGTGCAAACAATCCTCAATATCAACTTCCATTTTATAGAACTGTTGTTGTCTGATGGTATACGATATGAATAAACCCGTATATCTTTTTCGTTTACAATATCTATTAAACGTCTTGATGCTTATTTCGTGATAACTTTCATTGGTTTTTTAATATAGACTATTATTATTTTTAGTAAATCATAATCAAATTTTGATTCCTTGATGTTCAAGCTTTTTACCATCATCACTCGTGGTCTAATTGTAAAGTAAATGATATAAAACTAATTTAGCTAATTAAAGGTAAATTAATAAATTAATTAATTCCCACTATTTACTTTACCAGCCAAACTTTTCACTTCCATTGAAACAAAATATCTATATCAACAGGCGCATTAAAATCAAACAAACTCTAGAAAGGATAAATTGTTTATTCTGTCGTGAAATAATGACTCTTATTTCAAATATATTCAACTTAAAATAAATTATCTATCTCTTGTTTTACTTGACTTCACAAAAAAAAAACAACGAAAAAAAGTATTTTGATGCTTTAATTTCTTTGATAGATCCATCATTATATACTAAAACATTTCAAGAAGAACTAGACATTCACCATCATCATCTTCAACACCTTTGGCATTTCCTTCTCTTTGTTAAAAATACCCAGACCATAAATCCATTTGTAATTTATCCTTGGAATTTACAAGCAAGGTTAATAGGTCCAGAACATAAACCTAAACATGATTATGCTTCAAAATTCGCGTCCAATGAATGTAGGAATTTCTATTGCAGAAATTAGACACATTTTCAATTATTTGGCTCATTGACATGAACATAACTATCCTAATTATGTTTATCGATCAAAAAAGAAATAGAAAGTCATCATCATAATCATCATCGTCGTCGACAACAGCTGTTGGCACAACTTTTATATTTACCCATCTACCTCAATATTATCATCATTTCTACTGGCATCTCCTTTAATTTCGTCTCCTTGTGAAATACGCTTGGTAAATTTTCACTATAATTTTAATATTTTATTATTTATAACTTGGGAATTGTTGGTTGTGGTAATGCTATAATAATCATTATCTATTCTTGCTGAAGCATTGTGAGAATGAAAATGCAATTCGCATATTGATACGTGAAGACTAAACTCCTCCATATTAATTATAGATTTCAATTTCTAACTGATAACGATAACACTAAATAATTTAATACGCAGACTGTATTTGCCAAACAAGTTATTATCGGAGAATTTTCATTATGACGATCTTGGTAATATTTTCACTTTAAACTAATTAATATTAATGAATTTTTTTATAAAGACTCGGAATGAGTTTTTACTTGGGGAGTTGCCTTCAACAATATCTTATTTATTATTTGGTACACGAAATTTAGGGATATGATTTCTTGATAAATATTTTGAAAGCTTCTCTCTGAAGTATATTAAAAGGTAAAGAATCTAGTACGATTCATTCAATGCTGGCAAGATGCAGGTCTTTCATTTTTTATCGTGGATGTTCTTGAACTTTTTCAAACACATCGGATAATAAATAAATAAATGTATGCGTGTAATGTATAATAAATGATAATGTATATATATATAGATGTTCTTCCGGATGCTAAACGATGATTTAATGTTGAAGTTGAAATGGTATCTGAATTAGCGTATTTTGCAACACATATAGTTCCTAACAATAACCTTGTAATAAACAAATGTTCCTTTTGATGCTTTTCTTGTTACTTGCAGAATAACATTAATTACATTCTTTTCATAATTCGTTGTATTTGGTCCCACAAAATGTTGATTCGTTATACAAATTAATAATTAAACCGTAAGTAAATTATTTTTATGTTATTATAACTGGTTAAAAAAACTTTTGTATTTAAAAAAATTTTCCTTGAAAATGGATAAAATCAAAAAAAAAGATGAATATTCAAAAGAAAGAAAAAAAAGATATGGAGAGTGTCCAATTTGCAATAGATATAATACTGATTATTCATGGTGTCAATCATGTGATCCAAAGCTATTAACTGAAGGATGGACTAGTGGTAATGAAACACTAGATGAGATGATTAAAAGCACACAACTTAAAGCAAGAGCTTATAATAATGATTATTTTCAATGGATTCCATATAATGATCTAACAATTATTGAAAAGATAGGTGAAGGTGGTTTTACAACCATACACAAAGCTACTTGGTTAAATGGTGATAAAGGCATAAGTGATAAAAAAAGATATAATAAAGATATGACTGTGGCGTTAAAAAAAATACATGGTTCACAGAATGTTTCTGATGAATTTCTTAATGAGGTAAATTATTTTATTAATATTAATTTTGATTATTATTATTATTGTAATTAAATATTTTATTTGTTATTTTAGTTCAAAAATTATATGAAGCTTCATTATAAAAGTGATGTAATTAATATTTATGGATTAACACAAGATCCAATTACAAAAGAATATATATTTGTAATGGAATATATGGAAAATGGAAGTCTTCAAGATTATTTAAGAAAAGAATTTAAAAATTTAAAATGGAAACATAAAATTGTAATTCTTCAAGGAATTATTAAAGGTTTAAAAGGTATGCATGAAAAAGGGATTGTTCATCGTGATTTTCATAGTGGTAATATTCTTCAAGGAAGTATGAGTTCATATATTGCAGACTTAGGGTTATCATGTTTAGCTAGCCAAACAGCTGCATCAAAAAACAATGATATATTTGGAGTACTACCATATGTTGCACCTGAAGTTTTAATAAAGAATCTATATACAAAAACATCAGATGTATACAGTTTTGGAGTTCTGATGTCTGTAGTATCAACTGGTCAACAACCATTTAATAATTTGGCACATAATATAGACCTTGCAATGAGAATATGTGAAGGTGTAAGACCTGAATTCTCAAACAACACACCAAAATTCTATATTGAACTAGCTTACAGATGCATGGATGCTAATCCAGATAAACGTCCAACTGCTGAAGAAATTTGTAATATTATTGGATTATGGAATAATTCATTTGATGATGAGGTAATCAATAACCTTAAACACCATAAATACTCAAATGAACAGCATGATGAATTAAAATCAATTAGGGAGGAATTTGATAAAATGGATGAAATAAAATTTGATCCATATCCATACACAGTGAATCTCAATTTTGGGCATGTTCTTCATTCAGCAGATATTTTTACATTAACTATACCAGATGAACTTTAAATCTTGACATTTTATTATGTATTAAAATTATTTATTATTTTATTTTATTTATTTGGCTACTATATAAATCATAGTTAATTAGTTATTTATATTTAATAGTGATATTATATAAAAGTAATAACTTCTCATAATTATCATATCTTTGGAATTTTTTTTATTTTGAAATTTGGAATGTCAAGTATGCACATTCAATAATTTTGTGTGATTTTTGGGCTACTATATATTAATATTAAAAATAGTGGTTTATGACAAATATTTATTTATATTAATATGTGTAAATATATTGAGATATTAAGGTAAGAAAAGAGTAAAGGCTATATATAATTGATTAGTGTTAGATGCAAAGGTTATCTATATAAAACTTCATATTTATTAATGCTAACCCAAACAAATGACTTGAATGGGCAAAAATGGAGGCCCTGGCGCAAAACGCATATGCGTCGTCATTGAAGTTTATTAATGCTCATAATTTGAGAGAGGCATAATTCTAGCGTCATTCAGACCTTTTTATGGTGCCTAGTCATCAAATGACGACTGATTCATGTATACATCGTCATTTTCGTTCGAGAGACGTATAGTAGTCCTCGAAGTTCACGGAAATAAGCAAACAAAACGTATTAGTATGCTTTTTTGAGACCAAAATCCGAAGCAAAGCGGAGGATTGCGGGTCATTTCCATGCATACTAAACATCTTTTGCTAATTACGTGAGCTGTCTGAGGCAAAGATATCCCGAGTACATATATCATAAATCAGACCCATCGAAAAATTTTGGTACCATTGGCACAAGAAAGCGCAGAATTTTGGTACCCTTTGCTCAAGATGTAGGCCGAAATTCGGTACCAATACATCAGGAGACAAGCTGAATTTTGAGAAAAGAGCCAAACTTTGGTGTAAAAACATTTGGTATTTTTTTCCCAGGCGGCCTGAATTTTTAGGAGTCAGCACATAGGCGGAGACGACTATTGGAATTATTCCACTTCATGACATACCTGCTCCCAACATGAAGCTATGGATTGAATTAGTAGGTTTGCACAAAAAGCACAAGGAGTGCGTTTTTTAGTCATCCCGGAACCCCTCAGGGTGCATACAAGATTTAGAGAGGGCAGAACCGTTATTTTAAGAAGGGAGCAAAGATAATCCATCACCAAGCATTTTGATATGGCGGAATAAAAACTAAAAATTTAAAGAAAAGTATGCGTTTAATAAATACATTCGACACACTTTACCCAAAATGACAGATAGTAATAGTGATTGATCAAAAAAAATACCACACCATCTACTGTCAATTCTATAGAGATCATATCCTCACAGCCTGATGAAAAGAAATCGAAGCAACCTTAGTTGATATAATTAAAGCAGGCATAATATATAAAATTATAGAAATGAAAGATAAATAGATAAATATCGCAACTGGTATAAAAATGAAATAGAATTCTTATATCCATTGAAAAGCTAAATGGCCTTTATTACAAATTGGCCAAGGATAAATTTATAACAGAAGCAGAAATCGACAAAGATGCTGAAGATTTCCTTATAGTTTCGGACTCTAATTAGTTTCAAGCTTCAATTTTGTTACAAGCCTCAATTAGTCTCATATTTCAATTATCACCTTTTCTCTAAAAGATAATTCATCACGCGAATGTTGTTACATGATAAAACACGATATGGTCACACACAATGGATCAAATTCATTTTGCCAACTATAATCAAATGTTCAAATGTAATTTATGTTAATACAAAGTTATTAATAATATTCCTCTGCATGTATAAATTCCCGAATTGTTGGTTAAATAATTCAAGCAAGTAGTAATATCATAAGTTTGTTATAGAATGATGGAAAGAATAAAGTACATATAACAAAGTGCAAAAACTTCAGCTAGCCAATCTTAGCAAGAACAAGAAATAAATATAAACATATGCAATTTATTACATTGAGCATGATTTAATTTGCACATTTTACAACAAAAAAAATTTCTATGTTGAGAATAATTGCCTTTTTGGATAGCCTTTCTTTATAATATAAACATTTTGATATTGTTGAATGCGTGAAAATGAAATCTATGTAAGCTTAAATTAGTCAATTTCGCACCAAACATCATTGATTATGGATTCACATGATTTCAATTTCACATACAACAGCATCAAGAACGGTATATCAAGTACAAGTAAGCCAGCAAAAAAAGCTTGAAAAACCACTATCAGATATTTATTGTAACATGTATTTATTGGATCAAACATTATAGGAATAAATTTATAACAAACGTCAATGATCGTATAGGTCCTGAAGAATAATCCTCACGGTAAACAAATCAAATGTAGTTAATAAAGAAGGATTTCTTTTCCTTTTATTTAAAGATAAAGTTGCAAAAAAAAAAACATAGCATTTAATACTTTTCCTTATGAGGTTGAACATAAAAATTGTATTGACTTGTCATCCATATTAATGAAATTGCTAAATTTTCAATTAATAATTGAATAAATAAATAAAATTATGATGTTATAATAAACATAGAAATGAAAAAGAGATTACTTACACGAAACAATGAAAGGTGACAACCATCCAGCTCCAATATTAGCACTTCTAAATAATGTCAACTCTGAAAAAAAATGAAAAAATGCAATAACAAATGTCCACAATGTAATCTGATAAAGACTATTTCGAGTATAATAAAATATGTGTGAATTAACATTAGTAAATTTTTGAAAACTTGATTAATTATAAAGATTGTCTTCAACTTACATTTCATCATTTATGTTATAGGCAGCATATAGGCGTACAATGGCTGAAGTAAGTGTCCATGCAGCAAAGGTATGTGATGATAACTTGGTAACTAATCTCATTAATCCAATCAAATTCATTCATTATTATTTTTATTTTATCAAATATATATTTATATTGAGAAAAATTATATTATTTATATTAATATTACCTTCATGAGGTTTAGCACTGTATATTCGTTTTGTAAGTGATAATGTTAAAAAATTTTGTAAAGAATTGAATATTGCAAAGGTTGATACTAATAATATCCAATATGATAAATATCCTTCATTTTCAGGAAGAATTGGTGCCATTTTTTTTTTCTCAAATACTACAATTATATATAGTTATTTTTTGTTAGAGGGTAAATTTTTTTTTTTAAAAGGGAAATTTTTAATAATATTGGGGTGAATTTTTGAAATTAGCCAATCAAATACGTGAATTCTTGTCTCCTGTTACTTGTTACACGATCAAAAAACAAAAAATATGGAAAATGTCCAACTTGCAATAGATATAATACTATACTCGCAAACTATTAAATTTACAAGCCTTCCCCAACCTGTGATTTCAATAAAGTGACAATTATTGGTAATAATAATGACAATTTAATCATTGATTATCTTCATTTTTTATTTAAAATTTATAATTGGTAATTCGCCTATGAATGAGTGAATTGATCGACATATTTTTATTTTATTTTTTTTGTACCATATAAATTAAGATAAAAGGTAAACTTTAAAAAAAAATCAATATAAAAATTATAAGAAATACAAATAAAAATTTTAAAAGATGGAAAACATTTTAAATGAAAATAAACATCATGATGAATATTCAGAGGAAAGGGATGAAATATATGGGGAATGTCCAACCTGTAATAGATATAATACCCGTGAATCATGGTGTCAATCATGTGATCCAAAGCTATTAGCTGAAGGATGGACTAGTGGCAATGAAACATTAGATGAGATGATTAAAAGTACACAACTTGAAGCAACTGAGTATAATAATGATGATTATCTTCAATGGATTCCCTATAATGATCTAACAGTTATTGACAAGATAGGTGAAGGTGGGTTTGCAACTATATACAAAGCTACTTGGTTAAATGGCGATAAAAGTGCACGTGGTAGAAAAAGATATAGTGAAGATAGGACTGTAGCATTAAAAATACAAAAACTACATAATTCACAGAATATTTCTGATGAATTTCTTATTGAGGTAAATTATTTTATTAATATTAATATTAGTTTCAGATTTTTAAAATATTATTGATTATTATTGTTGTATTTATTTTATTTGTTATTTAGTTCAAAAATTATATAAAGCTTTATAATAAAGAAGATATAATTAATATTTATGGATTAACACAAGATCCAATTACAGAAAAATATATATTTGTAATGGAATATATAGAAGATGGAAGTCTTCAAGATTATTTAAAAAAAGATTTTAAAAATTTAAAATGGGGCAATAAAATTACAATTCTTTATCAAATTATTAAAGGTTTAAAAGATATTCATAAAGAAGAAATTATTCATCGTGATCTTCATAGTGGTAATATTCTTCAAAATACTGGTATTTCATATATTACAGACTTAGGGTTATCATGTTCAGCTAGCCAAACAGCTGCATCAAACAAAAATGATATATTTGGAGTACTACCATATGTTGCACCAGAAGTTTTAAAAGAGAACCCATACACAACAGCATCAGATATATATAGTTTTGGAGTTCTGATGTCTGTAATATCAACTGGCCAACAACCACTTAAAAATTTGGCACATAATAGATATCTTGCAATAAAAATATGTGAAGGCATAAGACCTGGATTTTCAATTAACACACCAAAATTTTATATTGAACTAGCATTCAAATGCATGGATGCTGATCCAGATAAACGTCCAACTGCTCGAGAAATTCGTAAGATTATTAAAATTTGGAGTGATTCATTTAAAGATTCAGTAATGAAAAATCCTGAAGATCGTGGATATTCAAAAAAACAACAGGATAAATTAAAATCAATTAGAAAAGAATTTGATAAAATGGATGAAATAAAATTTGATCCATCAACAATTACTGTAACAACTCACCCAAATGCTGTTTATACTAGCACATTATTAAAATTTGCAAATCTTCCTCAACCTGTAAATTCCAACAAAGTAACAATTGTTGGTAATCACAATGGTAATTATTAACATTTATTTTATTTATTAACTTTTTAAGTTCAATGTTAATATCAACCAATATTGATATGGTAAATCTTTTTTAGATTCTCAACAGACTAATTTAGATGCATTAGATATATTGTAACTGTTTTATTTATTTTCTAACTTATCTTTTACATTTAAATATGTATATTATAAATAACTTTTAATAAAAATTTTATTGACTAGAAAACCTAAAGGTTTTCTGAATGGATTCTTTGTTCACGAATGTCATAATCAATTTGAGTTATTGACAATTTACAATTTTTTTTATCCTTTCTAATTATTTTTTCATCGGATCAGGTTCTTCTTTAAGGCGTTTGATGATCTACCATCTATTGTTATAAGCTGGATCATTAAAAACATGTCTTGATCTGGTTTGGGAAAACTTGGAAGAATTCATGCAACTCGGCAAACCCTTCTCATTTTGGAACCATTAATGAGCAATCACAATTTTAATAAATATATTGCTTTTTCATATATAGAATAGAACTCCCATATTTACTTTTCTTCATATATATATATTTATAAATTTTACGATTGTATGTTTTTATTTAAATTTAAAAAGCAAAATGCCTGTCACGATAACGTTTAAATAGGTTATTAATGCATTCATTGATTCCCAAATCTCAAACGTATTGTTGAAAGATACAGCTTATATAACTTATATTTATATTGATGTTGCGAAAAGTAATTGTCTTAATTTATAATAATTGTTGTAAAATAGGATCCATGCTACATTAATATTTTACAGTATTAATATTAATAAAAATTCACATTGTGTTGGAATTCTTTATTATCATTATCATTTACACACACAGCACAAACCTTGAAGGTTCTTTTTTGATTATTGATTATTGATTACTGACCATTGCTAATTATTAAAAAGTTCAAGTTTGTTTATGAATTCAAAATGATGCAAGACTTTGAGCAATCTTTGCCATATTCTAAAGAAACAGGCGGAAGTGTTTTCAAAGTTTTGACAATTGATTATTGTGTTGTTTTCTTATTTGATTTTTTATAATAATTTATATTCTCCTATTATTATTATTATTATTATTAGTGGTGATGGTAGTAATTGAAATATACTAGTAATCTAACTTATGGCAGATGAATGGTGAACTTAGTGATAGGTGAAGGTGGTTTTGCAACTATATCCAAAGCTACTTGGATAAATGGTTATAGATATATAAATTATGTAAATGGAAAATATACCAGAGCTAGCAAAGATATGCTTGTAGCACTAAAAAAACTACATAATTCACAGAATATTTCTGATGAATTTCTTAATGAGGTAAATTTTTTTATTTTTCTATTTATTTCAGGTTTTTTAAATATTATTGATTATAATTGTTGTAATTAAATATTTCATTTTTTATTTAGTTCAAAAATTATGTAAAGTTTTATGATAAAAAGAGTGTAATTCCTATTTGTGGTTTAACACAAGATCCGATTACAAAAGAATATATATTTGTAATGGCATATATGGAAGATGGAAGTCTTCAAAGTTATTTAACTAAAGATTTTAAAATTTTAAATTGGAGAGACAAAATTCGTATTCTTTATTGTATTATTGAAGATTTAAAAAATATTCATGAAAAAGAAATTATTCATCATGATCTTCATAGTGGTAATATCCTTCAAAAAAAAACAAGCTCATATATTGCAGACTTAGGATTATCATGCTCAGCTAGTCAAATATCATTATCAAACAAAAATGATATATGTGGAGTACTACCATATGTTGCACCAGAAGTTTTAAAGGAGAAACCATATACAATGGCATCTGATGTATACAGTTTTGGAGTCCTGATGTCTGTAGTATCAACTGGCCAACAACCATTTAATAATTTGGCACATGATGAATATCTTGCAATGAAAATATGTAAAGGTGCAAGACCTGGTTTCTCAAACAATACACCAAAATTCTATATTGAACTAGCATTCAAATGCTGGATGCTGATCCAGATAAACGTCCAACTGCTCGAGAAATTCGTAAGATTATTAAAATTTGGAGTGATTCATTTAAAGATTCAGTAATGAAAAATCCTGAAGATCGTGGATATTCAAAAAAACAACAGGATAAATTAAAATCAATTAGAAAAGAATTTGATAAAATGGATGAAATAAAATTTGATCCATCAACAATTACTGTAACAACTCACCCAAATGCTGTTTATACTAGCACATTATTAAAATTTGCAAATCTTCCTCAACCTGTAAATTCCAACAAAGTAACAATTGTTGGTAATCACAATGGTAATTATTAACATTTATTTTATTTATTAACTTTTTAAGTTCAATGTTAATATCAACCAATATTGATATGGTAAATCTTTTTTAGATTCTCAACAGACTAATTTAGATGCATTAGATATATTGTAACTGTTTTATTTATTTTCTAACTTATCTTTTACATTTAAATATGTATATTATAAATAACTTTTAATAAAAATTTTATTGACTAGAAAACCTAAAGGTTTTCTGAATGGATTCTTTGTTCACGAATGTCATAATCAATTTGAGTTATTGACAATTTACAATTTTTTTTATCCTTTCTAATTATTTTTTCATCGGATCAGGTTCTTCTTTAAGGCGTTTGATGATCTACCATCTATTGTTATAAGCTGGATCATTAAAAACATGTCTTGATCTGGTTTGGGAAAACTTGGAAGAATTCATGCAACTCGGCAAACCCTTCTCATTTTGGAACCATTAATGAGCAATCACAATTTTAATAAATATATTGCTTTTTCATATATAGAATAGAACTCCCATATTTACTTTTCTTCATATATATATATTTATAAATTTTACGATTGTATGTTTTTATTTAAATTTAAAAAGCAAAATGCCTGTCACGATAACGTTTAAATAGGTTATTAATGCATTCATTGATTCCCAAATCTCAAACGTATTGTTGAAAGATACAGCTTATATAACTTATATTTATATTGATGTTGCGAAAAGTAATTGTCTTAATTTATAATAATTGTTGTAAAATAGGATCCATGCTACATTAATATTTTACAGTATTAATATTAATAAAAATTCACATTGTGTTGGAATTCTTTATTATCATTATCATTTACACACACAGCACAAACCTTGAAGGTTCTTTTTTGATTATTGATTATTGATTACTGACCATTGCTAATTATTAAAAAGTTCAAGTTTGTTTATGAATTCAAAATGATGCAAGACTTTGAGCAATCTTTGCCATATTCTAAAGAAACAGGCGGAAGTGTTTTCAAAGTTTTGACAATTGATTATTGTGTTGTTTTCTTATTTGATTTTTTATAATAATTTATATTCTCCTATTATTATTATTATTATTATTAGTGGTGATGGTAGTAATTGAAATATACTAGTAATCTAACTTATGGCAGATGAATGGTGAACTTAGTACAAGTGTATCAACGGGTAGATTTACAACATATACTACTCAGATGTGCAGATATATCAGATAAATTGGTTATTGATTTTGGATCTAACATTAATTCTAATTATATTGGAGGATGGGGGGGAGAAAAGGAAATTAAAGAGTCAAAAGGTTTTTAATTGAACTGAATATTGTTTATTTTATATTATTTCATATCTATTCATTGTTGTCAAAGATTATGTTGTTTTATTATTATTAATATGAGTGAAACAGGTTTTTAAATGGATTATTAAATATGGATAAAATGGATGAAGCTTTTATCGAATTTTTATTGCAGTTAGATGTTGAAATTCTGATGATAATAATAAAAATGGGATTTAGCATTAGTAAGTATATACAGAGCAAATTTATGATCAATTGATTGAATTAGACCTTACGTGCTATATTCTTTCTTTAACCATCTGCCATTTAATTTTCTGGCAGTTCGTGCATTTGTTCTAGTACGTTGACCTCTAACAGGATAACCCATAGCATGTCTTTTACCTTTATAAGAACCAATGGTTCTATGATGTATAATATTATTCCTTGTTTCGCGTCTCAAATCACTCTCAATTTTCATGTTTGATAATTCTAAAGATATTTGATTTATCTGTGATTCCGATAATTCTGACAATTTACATGCTTTATGAATGGAAAATTTACTACATATTTTATTAGCTGTTATATCACCAATTCCATAAAAGTATGTTAATGCAATCTAATAAAAAAAAATTTTTTTTTTTGTATAAAATAATCCAACGTATGCGTTAAGTAAGAATTAAATTATTGATAATTAATTATTGATGAAATATTTATTTACTCTGACTAATTTATTTTCAGGTAAATTGACTCCAAGAAGATGGAGCATCTTATTGATTGTAAAAAATAATCGAAATATTTTGAAATTTTTATTGGTTGTCAAGATCAATGTAATACGAAAAATATCCTTTTTTTTTTTAATATTAATTAATATTAACTAACGGAAGAAGATTTATAATAATATTTTCTGATAGACAGTACATAACATATACAACTATATATAATAATAATAAATAGAATGAGCAACTTTGTTGAACCAACGTTCACTGGGGTATATTCAAGGGTCTAAGTTGCAAATAAGAACAAGGTTTGAAAGACTAAGTGCAAATCGAATACTTTATCCATTCATCCATGCAAGGTTTTCTATTCTGAGATGTTTTTTTCAACAATACCAGGAATTACATTTCCCTTTTGAATCTGAAAGTTATTGTTCTGCCTTAATTGATTTTGACAGAAATCATTGCAATTTATAAAGATTCAAATTTGCACTCTCCAGTAGATAAAATAAATAAATAAACTTTCCCAGACTTCAACCAGAATTCAAATTACATTTACTGATCAAGAATATCAACTTTTTACTCAACTTCAAAACAGATTGTTTAATTTTCAAATAAATATTCGAGAAAATCTCGATTACAAATAATTATAGAAAAAAATCGTATAACTAGTATGTTTAAAGTCGTGCTAAATTGTTAGATATTTTATTTTAAATATTAAATAAGATTATTTCTCTGCTACTTCTCCTACTTGAGAGTAGATTCTTGTATCAATTTGAAGCTGTACTTGATTCCACTCGAAACCGAATTTTTATTATTAACGTTGTAACTTTTAATGTTAAAGAATGATAAAGATCTACAAGTCAACTATACTAATCTAGGGGTAGTACAGTATATAGTGGAAAATAAAAAAAATGGCATGTTAGCGGGCGGACACGTGTAAATAATTTGGTTGCATGTATGTAAATAGTAATAGTAATAGTGTAAGACTTTGGCGGTGTTTGAATATGGAATTTTGATTGGCTGATTTGAATTTCATAAATTCACATATTCCTTTAATAATAAATTTACTCAATAATAATAATTAATTAATAATCAAATGCTTTCTCGACGTAAAATGTCACCATCTCGGAGAAAACCATCTATAACATCTTCTTCATCAGAAACATCAATATCAGAAGAAACCAGATCGATTGAATCGGATCAAAATTCTAAAAAATTTGATTCAACCAATACAACATATTCCACAACCACGATTGATACAACAGCTGCAAAACTTTCGCTTACGTGTAATTTTGGTGATTTACCCGCATGGCTACAAGATAACAAAGACATTCTAAGAGGTAAGTAATCAAATATTATAAAGAATATCTAATTATGTCGTATCTAATTATAATCATCTATTTTAGGATATCGTAGACCAACACTTTCTTATATAAAATGTGCAAAGTCACTATTTTATCTTCATAATGAAAGTGGTATGTAATATATTTAATGTATGTTTATAAAATCACGCATGAATTATATTCGTTTCTAAAATTATTTTATTTTATTTTATTTTATTTATTAGTTAATATTTGGTCACACTTGATTGGAACTTTAATATTTATAATTCTTGGATTTGTAACATATTTTTCCGTATTGTCAAGTCAACCAAATATTAAGATATGGGATTTTCTTGTTTTTTATACTTTTTTATTGGGTGCAATGATTTGTTTAGGTTTCTCTTCGACTTTCCATGCTCTATGTTGCCATTCTGAAAGAGTGAGTTTACAGCGAATCTATTGATTTATTGATTGATTGATTGATTGGTTGATTGATTGATTGGTTGATTTATTGGTTGATTGGTTGATTGAGTTATATATTATATCACATTGATAAGTTTTCATTAATTGATATTTTAATTTTAGGTTTGTGCTAATTGGAATAGATGTGATTATGTTGGAATTGTCACACTAATCGTGTAAGTAACTAATATTTGTTTTTTATTATAACTATAATCATAATATTAATTGAAATTATTATTTATTTTCTAGAGGGTCATTTTATCCAATGATTTATTATGGTAATTTAATATTTACGATCAATTGATTAACTTTTGATTAATTAATTATTATCATTTGTTCATTATTATTTACAATAAATTTAATTGATTTATTAGGATTTTATTGTAATGGTTTATTACAAATCATTTATCTTACATCAATTTCAATATTTGGCGCTGCAACTGTATGTGAATGATAGATAAAACTGCCTCCAACTACGTTCAATAATTAATTCATCATTATCAATAATAATAATAATTTATTTTTTCATTGATTAATCAATTTTAGATTTCAGTCGCAGTTGCCAGCAAATTTAGATCACCTGAATTTAGATGGTTTCGTACAGGAATGTTTTTATCAATGGGTTTAAGCGCCATAGTTCCTTTGGCTCATGCTTTGATATTGTATGGGGTAATTGTTATCATTATTATTTACTTGTGATAATTATAATAATTGTATTTAAAATACATAAATATCAACATTTCTTTTAAAACAGCCTGGACTTTGCTTTGATGTAATATCTTTAAAATGGTTACTATTAATGGGCGCATTATATGTTGTTGGTGCTTTAATTTATGGTGCAAGGTAATTTTTATAACAAGTTAAATAATTTGATCTTTATTTTTGTTATATTTTTAATATTTTTGTCAATTAGAGTGCCTGAAAGATGGTTTCCTGGAACATTTGATATATGGGTAATTTGTTTATAATTATAAATTAGTAGTTGTAATTTTATTTTAATTATAAATTAATAATCATAAAATTTTGTTGTTTATTTTTAGGCATCATCACATCAAATATTTCATTTTTTTGTCTTGGCAGCTGCTTCAGTTCACTATTATGGCGTCAATCAAGCAATGTTGTATTGGCATAGTTTTAATCATGAATGTAAAATTGACATTGGAGCAATGGAACCTAGGTTATGAACTATAATTTAATTTAATTAATTAATTCATTATTTACTTATTTTAATTTATATGCTAATACATTAAACGTTAAATGTAACTATAAAATAATTTATGTCAAAAAAGTAATTTATCTTCCAAAAACATTTCCAATTGCTATGTTTATATCTTATGATAATAATAAAATAACATGCAACTAATTTAAAAAATTATGACATAAAATTTCACAGTCATGGTAATCCACCTTAATTGCTAATAAGGAATTGTGTGAGCAACCAATGGCACACCTTTTTCCTAATAATCTCATTGAACCTTACAATCTGTATTTTCAATTTCCCCACTATAATCAATAAGGCTTGCATTAATATATCGTTGAATATTTTTTCAAGAGATAGAAGACTCCAAGTAAATATCTTACGTTTTCATATAAATAACATTATTTATGTCCAGAAAAACATCTCCAATTCTATTTCGATAAGCATACTCTAACAAATCACCATTGCGAAGGGGATTTATTGGTAGTTGAAAGCAGAGTGAGTACACTAAAATAGAATTAAAGTCAGTATGATCATTCCAAATACCAGCATAGAAAGTATTGTACTTACAATGCATTATGTATTTATTGGATCCACTGGCAAGGCCATTCCTTAATAAAATTATACAAGCAATAGGATTCTCACAAAAATAACTGCAATTTTGCTCAAATGGACATCATAACCAGTTGTTGCTTTAATAATGCCATCATTGTATTTTTTCAGTAATGTATTGATGTTCATATTCAATCCACTATAAAGACTAGTGCCGTAAATTATGATGATGGTAGTAATTGTATCTACGGCATATAAAAAATGGTTGCAACCATACTTTTTCCTTTTTTGGATTACGGCACTAGTCTTTAATTGGATCACATTCGTTTTCCTCAGGTAAAAAGTTAATATTGTATCTAGCAACTCCACCAACATCTACAAGTTTTCCAACAACTGGATTCTGCAATAAGCCAAGAATTTGTTAAGAAATGAACCTTAGATGAGTAGAGAAGAAATGTAAAGAATAAGGAAGATACCAGATCTCTGAAAATTCATCTATCCCTTGATGCTCATCTACATTTTGATTCAAAGAAGGACTATTGTTCATGACCTAATACAGTTAACATAACTATTAGTAATCTCACTCAGTTGAATTTCAAAAGTAAATAAGTTATATTCCGACTTTTTTGATGATGTTTCATTCTCTTTTTCACGAGTTCATTTATTTCCAACATTATTAATTTGAATACCATCACATGATACAAGTCGAATATTTGTTCCTGTATTAATCATCTTTTCTTGGAGAATTTTCCCAACATCAAGCCATAGATTATCCATGTTGCTTCCTGCATTACGTTGATTTTTGTTCTTGCAAAAAAAAGGAAAAAAATGCTATTAATACATAAACATAAAATGCTTTTAACATATTCAATATTCAGCATTGAAAGAACCATAACGGTCGAAAAGATCATCAGAAGGACAACGAAAAGTTGTGTCTTCCTTGTTGTGGACAACCACAGTCATCTAAAAGATTACTACAGAGGACATTCCCCATAATCAAACAATACTTGCCTGACAATTGGCTAAAAGTATTTGAGCTTTCCAGATTTTTTGCAGATACAAACTTTGTTCAATAATCACATAGAGACTTTTAAAAAGTGCATCCATAGTCTTGCCATAAGTTAGTTGCTCAGGATGCTTTTTGTGAACATTGATCCAATTTTATGAAAGCGAAAAATAGACCAGTTATTAACAGGAGTATCATCAAAGTAACTATTCCACAAGTTCATAGTAAGAGTTGTAAAAAATTGACAGATTCAATTTGTTATTATTATGACCCAAATTGATAAATAAAAAGAGAATCCTTGAATTGTAATGTCGTTTTTCGAAAAATATTTAATGAATAATTTATTTAATTATTAAGAGAATTGTTATTCGCACCTCCCATTTTTGTTATTCTCACCCCTCCCGTGACTAAGTGTAGTAAGCGACCAATGAATGGCTTTAAAATATGATGATTTTATTGGTCCATCTTTGTCTTAGTCATGGGAGGAGTGGAATAACAACTCCCATTATTATTATTAATTATTATTATTATTGTTATGTTTCCAATGACGCGAAGATTTAAATCCACAATCACATGATGTACGATATACATTATTTCATTCTACAGTGCGAATCATCTACAGTCAAACCTCGATAAACCGAACTACCATAAACCGATTTTCGCTTTATAACGATTCAAATAAAAATTATTTCGTTAAGCCGAATTTTTATTATAATTTCTACTTTTACTTGATAAACCGAACTTAATGGTTTGTATATACAAAATAATAAAAATATAACTTTCTAAGCCGAATATAAAATTCGTCTTATAATGATAAAATTCGGTTTAAAATGGTCGATCACCCAACAATCAAGTTTAGTCAAGTTTAGTCAAGATGATTATTACTAAATTAGGCTTTTAACCTTTACGTTGCCAGCCCTGTTTGTATCGTGAATCGAATTTTGATAAGCCGATCCTATTTTTGTGATTTCCCAAAAGTTCGGCTTATCGAGGTTTGACTGTATTAATATGTAAAGGCACTAGTTTAGGTGCTTAAATTTCTAATTTCTGTGGGCAAAACTATTTCGGATACCATCATTAACAAAGAAAAGAAAGTATCTGATCCAATGAAAAGATAATTTGAATAAAAAAAGTTAAATTTGATTATGTCACGTGAACAAAGTGGGAAACATAAATTTACTCTGAAAACCTTTTAGACTTTTTCTAGTTGACAATATAATAGACAAAAATTTTTTTTTATTTAAAAATTATACATATTTAAATGCAAAGATAAGTTTGAAAATAAATAAACCATTACAATAGATCCATTTTATCAAATTCCTCCCTAATTGATTTTAATTCATCATGCTGTTCATTTGAGTATTTATGGTGTTTAAGGTTATTGATTACCTCATCATCAAATGAATTATTCCATAATCCAATAATATTACAAATTTCTTCAGCAGTTGGACGTTTATCTGGATTAGCATCCATGCATCTGTAAGCTAGTTTAATATAGAATTTTGGTATGTTGTCTGAAAGTTCAGGTCTTAAGCCTTCACATATTTTTACTGCAAGACCTGCATCATGTGCCAAATTATTATATGGTGTTTGACCAGTTGATATTTCAGACATCAGAATTCCAAAACTATATATATCTGATGCCATTGTATATGGCTTCCCCAGTAAAACTTCTGGTGCAACATATGGTAGTACTCCATATATTTTGTCTGATGCAGATATTTGACTAGCTGGGCATGATAATCCTAAACCTGCAATATATGTAACATTACAACCTTGAAGGATATTATTACTATGAAGATCACGATGAACAATTCCTTTTTCATGCATATCTTTTAAACCTTTAATAATTCCTTGAAGGATTGCAATTTTATGATTCCATTTTAAATTTTTAAATTCTTTTCTTAAATAATTTCGAAGACTTCCATTTTCCATATATTCCATTACAAATATATATTCTTTTGTAATTGGATCTTGTGTTAATCCATAAAGATTAATTACATCACTTTTATAATGAAGCCTCATAAGATTTTCAAGCTAAAGTAACAAATAAAATATTTAATTACAATAATAATAATCAATAATATTTTAAAAAATCTAAAACTAATATTAACGAAATAATTTACCTGATTATGAAATAATTTATCAGAAACATTCTGTGAATTTAGTCGCTTTTTTAATGCCACAGTCATATCTTTATTATATCTTTTTCTGTCACTTATACCTTTATCACCATTTAACCAAGTAGCTTTGTATACAGTTGCAAAACCACCTTCATCTATCTTGTCAATATCTGCTAAATCATTATATGGAATCCATTGAAAATAATCATTATTATAAGCTCTTGCTTTAAGTTGTGTGCTTTTAATCAACTCATCTAGTGTTTCATTACCACTAGTCCATCCTTCAGTTAATAGCTTTGGATCACATGATTGGCACCATGAATAATCAGTATTATATCTATTGCAAGTTGGACATTCCCCATATCCTTCTTTTCTTTTTTTTAAATATTCATCGTTTTTATCAGTAGAAGTATCGTCATGATGTTTATCTTCATCCAAAGTGTTTTCCATTGTGGTTTTTTATTATATTGTATAACTTGTATAATTTGTCAAAAAAAAATTTTTTTTTTTCATCACAAAATATTATTATTAATTATTACATTTCGTTAAAAAAAATAAATTTTACCTGAATTACAACAATTCAGCATTACATAAATAATTCGACATGCATCCTAAATCGTTAAAGCCATAACCCGTAAAACTGTAATAAATATTGCAAGTGTGCGATCTGAGTTATTGGAGTCACCAAATCTGGTGAAACTAAATTAAAATCACTACATACAACTATACTAATACTAATACGGGTTTCTATTCGAAAACGAGTAATTCGAATAAAACGAATAAACAAATAATTCAATCAATAATTTAAATAAAACAAATAAACGAACAATTCGAATAAAATGAATAGTTCGAATAAACGAAATAATTTGAACAAAACAAATAAATGAATAATTAGAGTAAAACAAATAATTCAAATATTTTAAAC